ACTAAAGAACATATGAAAGAAAATGCTACAAAACCTGGGGCTCTGTTTGTTTCACTAAGAATGCAGAGCTCTGGTATCTGGGCCTTGGTCCTCAGAATGAGGCCAAGCTGGCACACAAGGAGGACCAGCCTCATTGTTCTGAGTGTGGACCTGTGAGAAAACAGTAAACAATGTAAGCCAAAGTAGCCATCTTTTTTTTTCAAGAGCAAAGTGCTTTGAAAGAAAGCTTTTCAGAAATGGCCCCAATTTTTTTTTACGTCAAAGACAACTGATCAACCTTCCTTTACTTGAGGGAAAAATCCAACAAAGGTAGTAGAGTTACTCAAACCTATTATGCAATATACAGTTAGTAGTCATTGGAAGGAAAGAGGAAAGACTTCAACGTTGGCTGTAATTTATGTTATTTTCAATGAAATTATAAATATTCTTCAATTCAGTTGAATCTTTGAAAGACATTTTTCAAGACACAACTCAGGTTTTTTTCAAATAAACTGGCATTATTGATATTAAGACAAATTCTATCTCTTATATCAAGTTATATTTGAAGATGCATTGAATCCAGAACCAAAATCACTGCATTTGTGAAATTGCACTAATTTGAAAATTTTCATGATAGATTTTTCATCCAATGAATTAGAAATAAATTCAACCTAAAGTATTAAAGTTGCAGGAAAAAGAGGTGATAAAGTAATTGTAGCACTCACCCGTAAGTCTTCATCTTGTGGCGTGTGGTCAGTCACAAGAGCCCTTTATACTGTCGCCTCTACAGGGTGTGTAAGGGAATGTCTCAGATAATATTGTAACATTAGCCGGGCCTGTGACATCCTCATTTTTCTGACTGTTTTACATACACTTCAAGAACATCGATTGTAAGCAGTTTCTTTGAAGCAACAGCCAGCTATCTTTACTGGTGTTAAGTGATGGTATGTAATAATAATGAATATCCATTTCTATATACATGCAAGTGAAATTTGTTTTAAGGAAACAATAGAATGGGGCTTCAGGATTCATTTGAAAACAATTAGCCTAGATGATGGTTTCTTAATCTGCATTTACCCTTATTGTATTACACAGCTGTTTAATTTAAGATATTCATCAAAAGAGTTCAGTTTATTAATCTTAAATCATTATTCACACTTTCTGGATTCAAATATTGACATTCCAATACCTTTGAAGTGATGACTCCCAGCCTGTTTTTGGTCTCATGTCTTAGTTTGGAGTAATCGGTCTTTATGCCATATGTCTGCAACTTGGTTCTATTAGTGTATTATGTGATGGTATTGATTTCAGCAAAGGAAATTTATTTTGGCTTGTCCCAATCCTCATTGAGGTCAGACAGAAAAGTCCACTACAACAGCTGGCAGGAAGTGGAGGACATACTGTGTTACCTTGTTATCACAAATTTCTAAGACAAAATAAATGTATGACTCTTTTTGTTTACAGCAGTCAGCTTTGAACTTCCAGTAATGCATTAGCAATCATCTCACATTCCGTCTGGCACCAGATATTACTTTATATGTAAGATAATGCAAGCCTAATGGCTGGTGATAATGTTATGCAATGGAAAAACACTTGACTGCTGTCTTATATGGACAGGGAGAGAGTTGCATAGGAAACCATAATGTATACAAACAGTGTTTTATTTTTCACAGGCCTATGAAAGAGAATAATCGCTTTTTTGAGATCTTTTTATGTGATAAGAGTCTCATTATTGTTCTTCAGAGTGTTACTTTTGTAATGGATCAGTTTTTGTTATGGCCTCAGGCTGTAAACTGTACATAGAACATTTCAGTGCTGTTTTGTACAGTCAGCGAATAAAAGACACACCTATCTGAGAGAAATCCAAAGTCTTTTGTGAAGCATCATGACACGAAAGGGACTCCTGAGTAACTCAGGTCCCTAAAGAATAACACCACAATGCACCATGAGGATACAGCCTGAAAAAGGTGCCTGTTAGATTACTTTAGGTGTATCCAATGTCAAATGCCAGTTTTAATCTCTCCTTTGTTGTCTAAATAAGCATTTGTCTTCAAGCCATGCCATCAGTGTTACTGAGGGCACATTTCTTAAAAACTTGGACCCAAAAGCAGTAATTGTGGTCACCCTTGGGAAATAATATTACTAACCTGGTACAGGCCTGTGGCAGATTTAGGTCAGGACCCGTGATTCTGTTTTAAAAAAGGAGTGGACAGTGCGTGTTTGCTGCAGGTCTTTTAAATGTCTATAGTTCCCACAAATGTAATATCTTTGGAATTATGTCCCACTTATGGTGACTCATGACTCAGCTCGAAGTTTGAGGAATTTAACCTCAATTTGTACTTTATCAGGTAGTCAGTTAAAAAAATACAGGCCGATACGAAGACATAGGGCGTTGAATATTTTGACTAAAAAAGAATGAAAGATAGGATGACGCTGTACCATTGTGTAAACCAAGAACATGTTTTGTGAGCTTTCCTGGGATGCATGCAGGGCGAGGCTTATCACTGATAATATCAATGTATATGTCGGTCAGCAAATAACAATAAATTGTTGTGCAAAAATGCCATCGATATGTCTACGGTAAGTGCCTTCAGTTTGTCCTTCAAAGAGCACTGACATGTTTATTTTTTAATTAAAATGTCCCACTCAGTTCATATCTTGGTTATAATTTTGGAATTAACCAAATTTAAAGGAATTACATGCTTAAATCGCTTTCCGGCAGAGGCACAAAGACTGGAAACGGGGGAAACAGCTTTCCTGTCCAACCCAGTCCAACAGTAACAAAATGCACCCACCAGCAAGGTCACTGAGACGTTAGATGTCTTTTCTTTAATCCATACCAGAAACCAAAAACAAGTATTTGCTGTTTTATTTAGGATTATGTGCCAGACTAGGCCTATTTCTTGGGTCTGAGGAGTTGCCAGGCAACCAGCAGAGAGTCAGGGAAGTGTATGTGTGTTGTTTCAAGATTTTTTGTACTGATTAAACAAAAAAAGATATAAAGATAGTTGTTAAAGCAGCTATCAATGCCATTTTTATAACAACGATCCATCAAAAGACAATGTGGTATAGGTCGCGTAGTAATGCGCCTACAAAGAGCAGCTCCCCTCAACTTTAGAGCTTTACAGTGAGTTTCAGCAAATTTTTCAGCTGTCCGGCCATGCAGCTTTACTGTTTCCAGCTATCTAATGGCTTATGGACTTATTTTTGGCCACAGCAGACGGTTGTTTTTCTATGAGATCAGACACAGTTGGTGAACACAGTGGAGCATTTAGCAGTTAAAAAGCCAGACACGTATTTCCCATTCATCAGGAGACCAGAAACACAACTCCAAATGAACGATAATGTTGTTCCAGCAAGGTATAAATAAGCAGCTGTTTGCCATATCTACATACAATGTGACAATATGTCAGTGTTGTGTTCAACAATTGTTTGTGCTGCCCCCAAGTGGCCAAACAAATCAGTTTCTTTATAGTGCCTTTCTCACTGTTTTGTTTTTCTGGCTGCAACTCACCTCTTTAGCTCCCTTTAGTGCAGTTTTTGGTCACAGCAGTAAGCTACTGGTTCAAATATAGTTCAAGGTTCAAAGATGGTCTTTTAGCATTGGATCGGAATGAATGAATGTACACTGTGAAATGCAATTGAACGTTCAAGAAGCAATTTAAGTGAATGTGAATGTTCCTGAAGGTCAATAAAGAACACAATTGTCCCCCAATAATAATCTCTGAAAACATGTTCTACTTGCTGTTCCTGGAAAACATGAAGAAAAAAGGGTTCTTGGAGTATATATCTGTAATTGTTAAACTCCAATAAATCTTACTTTATTGTCAGCACAGAACAGCTCCATCCATATGTCCAATTTGCCTAATTAACCCTAACCCACCCTAACCCTAACCCTGTTACATCTTATATCTGGCTATGACATTTTAATTTTTACTTTTTAATTTTATTCTATTTAGTCATGTACATTTTATTTCTATTTATTGTACATAATACTTGTTAAATCCATCTTATCAGATCTTCCTTTCTTTTTTGTAATGTAAGGTCAGATTCACCGGAATTGTTTCGTTTAAGGTCACAATAGATTTCTTTTGAACAATAGCTATTGACTGTAATTAGAACATGCTGTTCAGTGAGTCACACTATTAAACACACGCACCTGAGCAGTATTATAATGTATTATGACAGTAACATTGGAGATGCCCCATTTTTTTTATTTTTAAAGTCACATCAGGACACAACACCTGTCCGTGCTGCACTGTAAATGGTAAACCAATCCCAGGGTTATAAAACTTGATGATCTGTGACCTACTTGGTTTTTGTTTGATTTTTTTGTTTGATTGTTTTCTTAGAAATCCACCCCAATCTCAGTCTCAGTGTCGAAAAAGAATATTTGATGTTGCATTAAAGATCATATATATATATATACATATATATATTTCAGTATCATTGAGGCTAAAATGCCTCACTTTGTGTGTGGTATTAAGCTGTTCCTTTACTCCCAGAGTCTGCTTGTACTTTAACTCCTCTTCTTCAGTGGTAGAAGAAGAACCTTTACTCAATTAAAATGATCAAGAACATACTGTAAATTTTAAATTCATGCATTCAAAATCTTTTTAGAAGTACATACAGCAGAGTCCACCTCTCAGAGTACTATGCATATACAATATAAATAGTATTGTAGGATTTCTATACACAGAATTTTAATCTTGTTGTTGGTTGGGGTGAAGCTAATTTTAACTACTTAAATATTTACTTATATACTGTAGGGTACTGTGAGATAATGATACATCATATTGTTTAAACTAATCAATGTTTTATATGTAAAATGTATAAGTAATAATTAGTCATCTATATAGTGGAGTAAAAAAGCTAATTTCACTTAAAGTAGTAATATGTAGTAGCAGAAAACAGAAGTAAACCGAGCACTGAAGTAGCCTGTCACAAAACCTTACTGAAGTATAATTTGTCACAAGAGGACGTGGACAGAATTTTTTTGGACCCACAGCATCCAGGAAAGAAAATGATTTTGTCTCTGAGAGGTTATAGCGCCACCATCTGGCCAAATTGTATCTAATTCAACACTGCACCTTGGGTCTTCAGCAATACACCCACTAAGTGTGAAGTTGATCGGGTGAATAATTGTTGAGAAAATTGAAGGACATACATACATACAGTATGTATATG